AAAGCGAAGCCTTTTCCTTACGTGTTGCCGTTTTTGCATAATGTTCAAGGTTTGTGATGTTTGTTGATGCAAAATGCAGAACGCGAGCAAGAAAAGGAAAGGCCTTCAAGACAACGGGAAACAAAAAGCCAGCTGCACCAAGACATATTTTTTCCTCAAGGGATCTTGTGGACCAAATTTGTATTTCACATTTAAAAAATTCAGTCAAAACCAACGCCTCCAACACATTCTGACCCTCTAATTATATTAAGAAAAACACACACTTTCCACTCACTTTTGAATATCTAATTAACAAGTCTTTGCCCTGCCCACGCTCAGGCATTATGCATCTTTAGACAAACACGCAACTAAACCATTACACCTGTTTATTCATAATTTCCTGTGTCATCGCTGTCACTTGGCCCTTCATTAATGTGACAAAGGATTAAAAGATTTTAATGCAATTCTATGCAGAGTCCCTCATAAATTTTAGCGCCCCCTCATCCTTTAATTACATCTGACAAGTGCAACGTATTTGCATACCATAACCTTGCAGTCTTGCTTGGTCTAGGTCAGGCCTTGTTTTCTCTCCAAACACTGCTGCCAGTTAAATTATAATAAGTTAAAATATGAGTCGCCACCTTGAAGCACTTCAGTCATCCCCATCGTCTTTTCCACAGTCAAATCAAGCACGGTGGCCATTATTAGTCTAAATAATAGGCCCTGTTCTGAAATGTTTCCATTCTGATTAGGTGCCTCGAGCACTGATGATAACAGACGAAAAAGACTCGATTTATCTCAGGCAAAGCCAATCATTTCATAAGAATGATTGGGCCAAATGCAGTTAGCGTGGCAGGTAGAAGAAGCTCCGAGAAATCCTTTACAGCAGAAAGACATCAGTTCGGATATTGTTATTTCGAGCGACTTACTTTGATTCAGTAATTGGCTCATAAATAAGTTAAAGAAAATGAGAAAATCCCTCTTTCTGTTTCTCCTCCTCGCTCAAGTCGAGTGTGTTTGCTTGTGCGCTCCATCTGTGCTGACTAAACCAAAGTCTCAGGTGCTGTTGTGAACCGCTGACCTCTCTTGTCCATTCATATTTCTGGATGCCTGCTTAGGCAAGCTCAGTGTATTTGAATGCAAGTTCGGAGAGGCACCCGAAAGCTGCTATTAGCTTTAATGTCAACACAACTTGAGCACCGGCTTTATGGGCTGACAAATGCGAAGGGAAAAAAACGTGAAAGTCACATTATTGACTGGAGGTG